AGGACAATAAATAATTGTTCACATATTTAAAGCCTGATTTATTATTCCATCACCATCTTAAGATGTTATATTATGTGTAAAGAATGCATTCAAACGCTTTGTAATAAAACATTATACACTTCTAACATAAGTATTCATGGTTATACAAATAAATACTAAATGAATACACAAACTGCTCATGACCTTGTCAATAAATCCCAAAAAAGTGCCAAAAAGCATGACATTTATATCTTAAACAGCCATTACTCAATAGTTTATATCAAGTTCACTGTTGCAGCAAGTATAGTGGAGTCAATTTGATAAAGTCTGTTTTTGTGCTACCTTCATGATCTACCATTGTTCTTTGTGAAAAAAGGTGCATAATGTCATCCTGATATCGAAGTGTTAGTTTGAAGATTAACAAACGCCTACTTTTCTTTTCCCTTTCACTCACATACTAATGGACAGTAGTTGTTAAGGGTAAAGGGAAATGATACAGCTCAAAATAAAAACTACCTAGCGATAACTTAAAATAAACACCCCTTCAACTGACTAAAGCAAGATAGCAGTGACATTGCCATGGTTTCATGTTTTGTTTTGTACCTCAGGATGTTGCCCTTTTGTTGAGGCACTCCCTCAGTTCATAAAACATAAATCAGGACTCATATGATGTTGTTTTAGCAGTTGCCATTAAAACATAAACAAACACACCAAAAGCCCAAAGGTGCTTTTGGTCACATCCTTGGGATTGTTTTGATTATTATTATTATCAAAAAAGATAATTTTGTATTGAATAGGACAGTTCAACCAAAAAAGACACTTCTGTTGTCATTTGCTCACCCTCATGTTTTTCCAAACCTGACTTCTGTAGAACACCAAAGACTATATTTAGAAAAGTGTTTGTTCGTCTATACAATGAAGGTCAATGTTTTTTGGACCCCAGTGACCTTCAAAATATTTTTATGCTCTGCAGAACAATAAAAAAATTACTACATATGGGTGAGTAAATGATAACAAAAATGTCTTTTTGGGTGAACTAACGGCAAGAAGTAAATCTCTCTGCACTTTAAATAGACATTATGTATCTTAATAGAAGTTCACACAACAATTTATTTCTAGAAAAACTAAAACACCTGCACAACCTAATGTCAACAATTAGGCTGTAACTGGTAATTTCATTGCGTCACTCACCACTTCTCTTTTTATTATTAAAAGGCTACATGAGAATGTTCTGGGAACCAAACCAGATCATCTGGTTTCACAATTTGTGGAGTTGTTTTTCAGTTTTAAAAAAGTGTTTCCATGATGAGATGTGTGAATCTGTAAACTTCCTGTGGCTAGAATGCCATCATACTCTGCATACTTATTGGCATGCTTGTCCTTTGGACACCCTCTTCAGGTGTTTTTTGTTTTGTACTTGACTGAGAGAAAGAGAGGCAGAGCAGCGAGATGGAGTCTCCTTCCTATACAAGATACTGTCCTTTATGCCTTCTTTGATGACCTAGATAATAATGATGATAAAGGATTTAAAAACTTGACTTGCATAAACAAGCCTAAACATGAAGCAAAAGAAACATTGAGAATTCAGAAACTGATTCGAACAAACCCACACAAAAATTATATCAGCTACACCTAATTGTAATACATTACAAACATTATTCTTTAAAATATTGTTTCCCATTGAAACTGTGAGAACAAAGTAGTAATATCAATCTAATTTAAGTGGAATGCTAATATAAAAAAACATATAAATCAGAAAGTATCTGAGCTGAACTGACCTCAATGTTGTTAAGCGTGTTGAATTCCATAAGATCATGTAGCTGGGTGAAGGCTTGATTGGAATACTGAAAATTGAAGGTTGAGTAGGGTGTCTCTGGGTCATCGAAGATATCAAAGTCTGCAAATTCTCTCTCTTTGTCCGTCTGACGTGGAACCCCTGTAAAATACACCACACTTTTGTATAAAACATCTTATTATTAAAACATCAAAATGAACTTTTCAAAGCATATAAGATTCATACTTTATGAAGAATCATGCCCACTTCATGCATTACATAAACAGGAATGTAAATCAACCAGCACATCAAAGAGTCAAACACAATCCTGAATTTCCCTTCACAGAATTCCCTGAATTTGTTGGAATTGACTATAAATCTGCATATGCAGAGCTGACTTTTTCATAAAAAAAAAATCCCTAAGTACACAGACACAAACACAAACAAAGAACACACACCTGGAGCTTTGATCGTCCTGAATTCAACATTGACCAGGACAAAATGGATAATAGTAGGGCAGTTCTTTTCTCCTTGTTTGGGCTTAAATACATAACACTCCTTCATCCCCTCCCGATCAAACACCTTTGGGTCGATCTTGGGAAATGGAAGTTTGTTCATTCGTGCCCATTTCTCAGCTAGCAGAAGTTCCTACAAAGGAACAATCATTTACAAAACCTGTGTCATACATATTGTCTGTGCATGTACAAGGTTCTTTAAAGGGGTCATATGATGTTGGGAAAAAGAACATTATTTTGTGTATTTGGTGTAATGAAATGTGTTT